GTCTGCTTGGCTCGCCACCCGCGTGTCTAGCAAGGCTGTGATAGTCAATTGTCCGCGGGAGAACTGACTTTTTCTGAACTTTGCGACGCGTGCCCCATTGATACTCAGTTTAGCTTTGCTGAAAGGACAGCGTACTAAGTGTAGTAGGCTCATCGGATGCATTGCAACTGATCCATGCGTCACTCAGTCACTGACACGTCTGGGATGTCCACACCAAACTATGGACGCGCCAGAATAAAATTGCTTACTTATATCTCACTGAAAATGACTACATGGAACAGGGCTTCCAGGCAAGCTAACATGGGCCTGAGACAGCTGAGGCATGCTATGCTACATTAGTAAATATATAAGATGCCTTCTGCGCTTGCGCGTAACATCATCAAGTACTCCAGCTTCCGTGGTTGGGGCCCAACTGGTAATATGTTTCCCACAGTGTGCTGGGCTTAATGCTCTCATAACTATAATGTGCTGACATGAAAACGTGAAAAATGCTAAAATTTGCCTCTTATCGAGCGTTAAACACGTCTCACGCTGCTTGAGGCCGGTCCGCATCGGGCAATTAAAATTATTATTCGGGTCTAAACTACATAATAACCACAACGTTTAATTAGCAAGATACAATTTGTTACGAACACCTGTCACCTCTAACCACTCTTCAGCACGCAAGAATCTGTTTTTAATGCAATCAAACTGCAAGTTTCTAAGGGCTTGTCGTCCCGGATTAATTTTGAAATGATATCGTTCACCGTCCCTGTTCGTGACCTGATAGCCGGTGTTTCTGCTAGCTTCCCTGTCAGCACGTTGTACTGGGATTCCGCAGTCTAGTTTCCGTTGGCCTGATTGGCCAGAGTGCGGGGGGCGCGGCCGGCAGAGGGCGAGAGCGGGCCGCTCAGGCCGGCCCCCGTCTCGGACCTCAGTCTACTCCGGACGCCGTCAGGGGGCGGACAGCAGACAGCGGACGGCCGGGCCGTACACGGAGGCGACGGGCGGCGCCAACCGCGTGACTGCGTGCTGTCTCCAGCGGCACCGGCGGACGCGGCGGCCGTCATCGTGTGTGACGCGTCGACTGACGGGGCCTCTGGCACCGGACGGGGGTCGGCGAGCGGTCTGTGAGCGGCCGATGCGGCGCCATGTGAGCGGTGAGGCCCGCCAGTGACGCCCGCGGACAAACAGTGACGAGCGACAGCGGCCCGCGTATGGAGAGTCAGCTGTAGACAAACACACAGCCTCGTTGATTACAGGTGAGCTCGACAGGGGCAAATATTCCGCGGGCTTCGGAGGTAGCAATGGCTTGTTCACTTATTGGCACACATCTAAATAAATAAATATTACTCCATCGTCTCCTGGCATTTATACCAAGACCTTCGTTTCTAAGTCGTCCTCTGGTTTCAAAGGAAGCTGATGTTTGGTTGGAAAGTGCAGAACGCTTTTTAGAACAGACAGCTAATCGGAGGTGTGGGTTAACTATTTATCCAATAATTTGACTGAACGGTAGGCGCGCTGGTTCCAACTAATAGCATTCTTGGAAACCGCATAAATTATATCAAAAGTGTTTAAGGGCAAACGTTAAAAGATGGGAAGATGACAAACCCTGATGTTCAAGACAAACCGATTTGACCCTTCATTAATCAGATATACGAAGAACACGTACGGTGCACGGTTGTTCTACGCGGAAAACAAGCCAACCACCGCCGTCGAGGCTGCGTTGAGCACCTTGCCCCCGAATTCCTGCTTTCGGATTGCAGTTGCGTCGGCCCCAATCCGCAAGCCAGCAGCCAAACCGGCACCTAATCACGCGGACAGATCGGTGTCGACACGGGTGCTGGCGCCGGGGGCCGATACGGGCCGGGCGTGCACTCGCGCGCCGCACGCACGCGACCCCCGCACCCGCTGGACGCGTCCACCGCCGGCGGTGACCGGAACTCCCGCGGTGACCACGGCACTCGCCGGGACGCGTCCACTGCCGGCAGTGACCGCGGCTCCTGGCCGCGACACCCGCACCCGCCGAGACGCGTCCACTACCGGCGGTAACCGGGGCTTGAACGTGCCAGCGCTGGCGGTCACTGTGGCTCCTGCGGCGACGAGGCACCGGACGTGTTCGTCCCGGCCTGAGGGCGACCAGCCGGCTTGACAGCAGCGGTTCACCCCCGCAATTGACCTGTCATCGACCTGAGGCCAGGCCGCGGTCGCACCGCGGCGACAAGTAGAGCGGGGTTGACAGCCCGTGACCGAATGACAGAGCTGCCAATTAGGGTGGCGTCGTTTGAGAAAGTGGTTATTTGTGATAGGTGTATGGCTCTAAAAAACATGTCATTATCAAAGCGATGAGAAATGGCACATCAGCAGGACTGATATGCCCTTGGTGGCATTTTGTTCGTTTCCTGCGTGAACGGCATATTAGTGGGCATCTGCCACAGCAGTCATATCTCCTTTGCATGACAATGATATCCAACGTTGTGTCTCATTTGAATACAGCTCTTCCATTTTGTTGGGCTTTTCCAAAGGCTAGACAGAGAAAAACGGAATCAAATATATGTAATTAGTTTAATCGTCGTCGCCCTCTTTCTCGGGTATGGTACATACCGTATGCTGATAGGATACAAAAAGCAGAACATTTTTTCGCAGTCTGTCAACAGTAAGACAACCAGCTGCGATACAGCTTGCTGGACCAAATTTCGCTGTTCACTGGCTGTATGTCTGCATGAAGTAAATCGTGGCCATATTTTATGCTACGGGGCTACATAAAGTGGCGTGCAAAGCAGGCTTTAATGCTGTTTATGTGTCATAACTCCCAGAATGAATCAACAAGCTGTTCAAGCTATGGCGTAAACATTTTGCGGCCTGAATGCCTTTGTCATACGGGATCTGTCACCTGTTCACTTATTTCAAACATCCCCACACTGTCACTTACTTGTCGCCCGAGCTGCTGAGCTGCTGAGCTCCTGAGCGCAGCCTCAGCATCCGACCGCGGCCCAGACGCCACGTGAGGAATCCCGCCCCAGTCGAGTCGCGGAAGCCATAAGGCGTGGAAAGCTGTGGCACGCCGGCGGCCTGCCCCCTACGTGCCGTGCGAGCGGGCCGCCCTGCTCCCGACGCCGGCGGCCGCGAGCCGGCGGTGTCAGCTGACTGCCGAGCCTTATGCCGCGCTCTCAAGGGCCCGCAGGCAGGAAAGGGAGCACGCTGCGCACAACGGCCAACGATAGCCAGCTGTAGGTCATGGTAAACAACGTTCCATTATTTTTTAATGGAATATTTATGCTTAATCTAGCATACCTGAGCCATAGGATTTTTGAGAAGTTCACAACCAGCTTATAGAAGTGCAATGCGACTTAATATTAGAGGCGAAGCTTCCGCTTCCGCGCGGCGGTGCCCCACGCGGAAGGACAAAGCAAGAAAGCGTCCGCAAGTGAAGGATGGAATGCGGTTCGGCCCATTGCCGTCCGGCCGTCGCTGCGGCCGACGCTCCGGCCGGCCCCGGCCTGCTCGTGGTCACTGCTGAGTCTGGGCAAAGGCCACCACCAGTCGAATAAACAGGAGCCCTGACACTGCCGGGGCGTGCACCTGCCCGACCGCGCCCCAGTGCCGGCGGCGCACGGCGAAGCCTCGCGAATTCGGGGAGCGGTCAGAGAATGGACTGCGGGCTGAACTAGGATCACTCTGGCACGAACATGCCATGTCCAGCAATGCTCCTGTGCTGCGTCCTGCCGTCGCGCCGGTGGAGGGAGCGGTCGGGGCGGCGTGGACCTGCTGGGGCCCCGCCGGCGGGCCGCCGGGCGGCCGGGTGCGGGTCGAGTCGCCGCCACATCACAGGGCCGCAGCGCCGGCCCCACCTCCGACGCTAACCGGCCATTAACACAAAATTACACCGATCTGCGGCCGGGAACGAGCGAAACAGGCGGACTCGGGGATAAAAGCACGCTGGAAGCGGCGCCAAAAATGGCGAGTGTGACGCCGGGGCCATGAAACACCTCACGCAAATTGCCACGTGCAAATTGGAAACGTGCCTTAAACAGGTAAGCGTGGGCCCGGGAAGGCTTCACAATCCGGTCGCGATTTCCGCGAGCCGACAAGCAGGCAGCTTGGGCTGTGTTAATACCTCGGTGGCGTCTGCGATCAGACTTCCTGGGATGTTTATCCTTACTAATGTAGGTGCCGACGATGAAACGTCCTGCGTGCTGCGTTGTACGTTAACGCCATCACTTCGGACTGCGAGTATCCGTACAGCTGGTGTCCGGATGGGCCCGACTCACACACCGTGCGCAATATCCGGACCGGGAGCGGCGGGTGATGAGGGGCCGACTCTCAGCGCAGCTCCTGTTCAGCGCGCAAGCTGCACGCAGCCGTCAGCGGCGGCACTCAAATCAACCTCGGCCCATCACAGTCGATAAATTAACTTGTGGTGCGGTGCGGGCGGTCGCGGCGCCGGCCGCCAGCCCGCTGACGAGCGGGTAATGACGGGTCGTGAGTGTCGCGCGCGCCAGCGGGGACGGCCAGCCGCGGTGATAGGATCAGCGGACGCCGCCGGCCGTCGGTGACTTACGGCCGCGAGGCGGGCCGACCCTAAATTGCGCCGCGATGCCGATCTCGGGGCGTTTCTCACTTGCGTGGCGGGCAACAGACACGGTGGCGGACAGGCCGGCAAATTGGGGACGCCGTACAAACGGAGGCGCTGGGAGATGAGGCTCGTACTTGAATAGGTCGCTTTTGAATAGACACGGCCGGACGGTCGCAAATCAGTTGTGCTGGACAGGTCAGGTCAGCCAGCACTGTTATCATGGCCTGGCCTGGCATGTTTGTGGCCAGTTGTTCAGCCAGTCTCCCACGTAATTTTGGTCTCATGAGACTCAGGTACATGACACCAAATCTACGAATTTACCGCACATCTTAACAGCACGTAGATCTATCTCGCCCCAGTGAAGCTCGAACATCGTCTGAAGAGTTCACAGCGGTCGTGCAGAGCACTGGGGACAGAGGAGCCTCGCTCGGCGCTTGAACTCAACGTTTGTCGAAAAGCACACAGCTGGACTACGTTCCTCGCCCCGGCTGATTCTATCCACCTACAAAGTGCGCGACACTTTCCTCCACCTGGCTAACGAGTGCTCCGTTTAATTGGATCGGACGGCGCTGCAGTGTTTTCCTGATTTCGTTAGTAACGCCGCCCGGACGGCAGCGCGCCGGACCGACACCGCTCACTCCGTGTCAGCCGTTACGAAAGCGAACGTCAGGGCCGATTAGAAGGCGTTCAGATCTCGGGCGGCAGTCAGCTGTCAGGTGGTGGAGTTGTTCTTTGCTCCCTTCAGGCTGTTGGTCCATTCGTATGGTAATGCAAATGGAAATCGGCGGTTTTAGCTGGATTTGTCAAGTAGTGTGGTTGGAATTGTGTTCGTTGCATACGTTTTATTTTCTGCGAAGGCGCTCAACCAAAGTACAATATGATGTATTTGATGGTGTTCTCGGCTGTAGCACTGCGAAAATCATTCGTGTTTTGTTCATATTGTCTCTGTTCAATTGTCGTCAACTTTATATTAGCACATTCCGTAGACTGCCAACTAGATGGATGAGAGTGAAGGTTCCTTACATGGTGATCACCGCACGGCGGGGCCTTACTCATTTATACGTGCAAGCGAGCGCATCATGTAGGCAGGGGACTGGCGCGTGTTGCTCGCCGCAGTGAGCAATCACTGACCGGTCGGGAAGCCGCAGCACCTCTGTTACCAGACGCGGTCGAGGGTTGGGAGCAGACTTTCGATCCGGTTAGTCGATCAAGGGCGTTGTCGGCCCTGCGAGGCTTCGGTCTGCTCACCACGGCGGCTGACGCACGACCAGCAGAGTCCAATGGGGCCGAGACAGCCGGCCTCATGCCTCGCTCGTTCAACATTTGTCTTTAAAGTTAATTTACGCGGTGATAGTCGCTTTGTTACGGAGCAAAGCCAAAGAACTCCGTAACGGTGATGGCCGTTCGCTCAAAGGCGAAAGCACTGCAATTATTTGACGGTAAGATCTTTATGATGTTCTATTTTCAGGGTATTATTTGGCATGTACTACCTCAGACAGGGGGTTGTCACATCTTGCACATGGCGAGCAAGTTGTTCGCAACGTAATCTATTCTTAATTTAGGTTGTGCAGTCTGAACGTGACCGTGAGTCTTGGTATACCTGGTTTCTTGAACTGGTTGGCTCAGTAACATGATCTTTGCTGATGACTGTCTTCTTGCAGGCATGACGCGTATGTGGCATTTGGCATCCGCCTTGGTCCTATGGACCGCCATCGTCTTCCCCCTCACAGTCGACGGTAAGATTTTTGAAGGCAAGTTTGCTGTTTAGGGGCTGAATACAGTGCATGAAGAGCTCACCGCACCAACTCATGACATGTTGGAGCAACGCGGTTGTCTGGCCAGCTGAGAGCTAAGGAGCATGATAGCATGTTTATAGATAACGGCGAACGGTTGTTATCCTTAAGAAACAAGTGCCCTGCGAAGGTTATGAGGGCAACGCTGAAATCAACGTGCACGCATGCATATTTGCATGCAACGTGCATATTTTCTGTGAGGAGAATGTATCTGATATTATATAACGAAAACACGGTGTTTGCATTGTATTGTATGGGGACACGTTTTGTCTTAAAATCTCCCAAACACTGAGGACGAAGATATCATCCACGTACGCCTCAAGAATACTTTCTACTTCTTGCAGATGGTTCTTTTATCTTCGTCATGAAGGGACAGGCTGCAAGTGTTGATTAGCAAGAGGCGTGTCGTTTGGTTTCTTGTTTACCGGACTGCCCACTGGCTTTTGTGTCATAGCTCTAGCTTAGTATTGCATCTGATGGCAAGGAAGTGCCAATCATTTTCCTGGCAAAGTCTCGAGTGATAACAGCTCCCTCCTGGTGAGAGTAACATCTGTACAAATGAGCTGGTTTTTATTGTGTATATCGGGAGAAACGTAATAACAATAAATGGCAGGGTTTCAAAAACATAGAACGCGTGAGGACGGATACGTAACGTTAAAAGGGGTACCTGTTCTAGAAGCGAGCAAAATAGTAATAGTTCCGTGCTGAAGGACGCAAGAGACTGGTGGCATCCTCACGAGCCTCAACCATAACACAGCCGCTCTGATTTCACAGGGTGCTCGGAGCCGCTGGGCCTGATGACGGGGTGGAGGATGCGGTGGCCAGCAGCACCCTCACTCACGGACAAGAACTGCAACACCAAGTACGCCCGGCTGCACGGTCCCAGCGGACGGGCCTGGTGCGCCGGCTACAAGCGCGAGGCCGAGTGGCTACTCATCGACCTCGGCGTCGAGGCCACGGTCAGTGGGGTCAGAGGTCAGGCTACGAGCAGTGGGGTCCGGAGCAGCGGTCAGGCCACGGTCAGTGTGGTCCGGGGTTGAGTCACAGTCAGTGGAGCAGAGCTGATATCCTGAATAACAGGTCCAAGATGAGATAGTCTCATGGATGGTGGCATGAAGGTCATGTCAGGTCAGGGCAGGAGCGTAGTGAATGATCTTTATATCTTGGGTCAGGTTAGGTTACGGCCAGAGGGACCCATTTATACCGGTTTATGATTAGTGGGCTCATGGCCGGATTTTGTTTTGATCAGCTGGGTCAAGGCATGTATTAGCTAGGTGCTTCTTGCTGATATTGGTGACATAATACTTTCAGACACCTGTCACCGATCGATCGATGTCAAACCAGGTGAATGGTGGTGATGTCATGGTGTTAACTTGGATAGGGTGATCGGCATTTGACCACATACTGTCTGATCATGGTAATTCACAGCGAAGGTCCATTCTTCCACATTATATACCTTTGCAGCTAGAGAGTCACCCAAAAATACACCCGGTGCCTTTTTCGATGATTTAGTACCTTTTTGCGCCACTATGACGCACAGATACGCTCGGAAAAATACACACAGACTGACACCCTTTAGTTATGTTGTATGATCAAGGCATATTCAAGTACTTTTGTCATAGTGTTGCGCCTGATTCAGCAGAAACCGCGCAACTTGTGATAACGTGAACGCCTTGCATGTCTGCATTAGAACGCTTATTTTCCGGGTCCGGTATGCTTACGTATGATGCAGTCGGACCTTATTATCACGTTTGTGCCGCATTTGCTGACCACTGGCTTTCTCGTGCAGATTCCAGCGTCATGACCCAGGGACGTGGCGATGGGAAGCAGTGGGTCACCAAGTTTGTTCTGTCGTACAGCGATGACGGCCTTATACATGGAAGTTCACAAACGACATCTACGGAAAAAAAACAGGTATGCAGAAAATAATTTACGAAAAGCACGTGTACGAGTGCGTATGTGTGCGCAATCGTGATAATCATCGCCATATATCAGCATTAGAAGCTCTGCTGGTGGCACTAGCCGGCATTGGTTATGTCAGAGACTGATTGAAAAAATAGATCGAGCCACCATTAAAAAATATTAGGAAAATACTTGAACCACAGTAGGGTTTGTTATTTTTTTAAAACAGTTTTTTTTGCATGTTTGCGTCACGGACACTGCATATGTTCAATATATGCAGTGTATGCATATATTCAATGTATGCAGTGTGATCAGTAGATTATGTGTTTCAATGATAACCTGCTGTTTAAGAACCCCATCGCGCGAAAACAGGAGCTGAAGAAACTCTCTTACTAGCGTTTTAGATAAACTTCACATTTATGAAACGTTGGTTGTCTGTGCTAGCAATTCGTTGCAGCTTTAATAGTCGCGGCTTTAATTATGGCCTCCGCAGACGTTCTCAGCCAACACGGACTCACACTCGCTGCGTCACCTGTACCTGGACGAGCCAATCACAGCTCGGTTCGTGCGCGTCCATGTGATGGAGTGGCATGGCCACCCCAGCATGCGCTTGGAGCTCATCGGCTGCCAAGGTAAGCCATGGCCCATCAGCAGCAGCAAATGTGAAACCTTGTGTGTGTGGCATGTTCGGGTTTGCCTTTAAAATCCATGACAGATTTTCAGCCGGTATAGGCTGCCGACATGCAACGTCTTTAATAGGAATCATGGGCGTAGGAGAACAGGGCGGGGCCAGGGGGGCCATGCCCCCCCCCCCCCCCACTTTCAGGGTGGGGGCCAGCAGTGTTAGCTGGTCGCCCACTTTTCAGATTAAGGGTGCGTTTAGTTTACTTTTGCACCACATTTAGATATACATGCTGATTTACCTAGTTCACCAGTCATCTTCCTCAAGATGCGTCAACTTTTTTGTTTTCTTATTGGCCATCGCTTAGTGTCACAGCCGCAGGCCGACGCCAGGCAGCCTATGGAGGCTGCAACGCCTGGCGTTCAGGCTGTTGTTGCTATGACTTGCGAGCGCGTATGTTCAAAACCATATTACACAGTGTTGTACCAGTAATCAATTCTGACCTGAATCTTGAACATTTTAAGACGGACATGGATTAGCCACGTCAATACAAGCTTAGGACCCCCACTTCGTCTACCATCTACGTTCAGGGGATTCCTCAATATCTCTTAAGAAAACAGAAAAACACGGAACTGGAGCCTGTGTGACAATTATTAGACTACCTTTGACGATCAGAGATGTTGTTGCGCCAAGGAGGGTTCCTGAGCTGATCCGGGGCCAACTGCGCGGGTCAGAAGGCCTCCCGTATCGGGGAGGGGAACAGTGTGATAAAATATATCCTTCCAATGGCCTCCGTATCGACCAGGAGATCCCACCCCGTGTGGCTAGAATGACAGCCAGAAGACGCTTCGCGATGAGACGGAGTGGCCCTTCAGCTCTTGAACGGAACCGGTAATGTGCTCTTGGTGTTCTTCTCAAGGGGTCCCTTGCCCGGAAGGAAATAATAGGCTTCGTTATTGTTGAGTAGAGTGAAGGTCTCATTATTGTTGAAGAGTAGGTCAAAATGAGTTCAAAGAAAACGAACAAGGGCATCCCAAAGGAACAATGTTTGCCTACGAACGTTCATTTTTCAGAATGGATTAGTGAAAAATATACATAAAAGGTGTGAACATGCCCGCGCACAGCCTCGAGAGCAAGGACAGCGATGGTCTGGGTTGCAGCTTCCGTAAAACCGAACGGCGTCGGCCACTGCAAGTGCCACCAGACGGCGGAACGCCGTGTTAATCTGTCTTCTGGACAGACTAATATTTAGAGAAACGCGATGATAGAGAATCTACCTTTACTCTTCCAGTTCCACCACCAGATTCCAGCACCACTTCGCGGTGCTTTAAGGGCCAATCCGTTCTTATCATCAGTCTAAAAATCGCACACGTGAAATATGCGCCCAGACTGCCTTGTAGATGTAAGATTTGATGTCCTGAAGCGTTCAAAGGTACTTCTTTCAGAAGCGTCATCATTTTCGTCCACCCGTTGGCCACGGCTCAGTATTAGCTGTTGAGCCGACGCTGCGCGGCCTACGGAGACTGCAACGCCTGGCGTCGAGCTTTTTGAACTAAGATTTGCGAGTACACATGCTCAAAATTATGTCACGTAGCTTTTATTACCAACCGATTTAAGTTTTTAAAGGTACTTATTTCAGCACCGTAATCATTTTCGTCCACCGGTGGACCATGACGAAAAGTTAGCCACTAAGACTCTCCGATGACTATGGACACTGCGACGCCTGGTGTCGAGGTTTTTATTACGATTGCGAGCGCGCATGTTAAAAATCACGTGATATAAATTGTATCACAAAATGATTCTGACTAAATGTTAAACATTTCCAGACCAGCATGGCTTGGCGATGTTAATACCCAGTGTTGGCCACTCGATCTGCAATCAAAATTTTCACCCTCAAATTTCGATTAAACGTATCAATCTACAGCCTACTTTCCCGATGTCCTCAATGCCCGTAGAACGCAGATAAAATATTACGAAAAGCTTCTGAATTCTATCGGTTTGGAAAGAGTTCATTAAGCCATTGCAAATTAAGGACACCGGTGATTTATTCCATGCAGTCGTTAAACGCCTGATTTCTGCAGGTTATTGATCTGAACACGCGCTCGGGTGGGGGTGAAAATTGATCAAATTGACTCGCCCCCGCCCCCCGAAGGTTTTTCCAGAATGGTTTCTGAACGGCGAGGCGCAACCGCACCATGTTTTGCATAGCTGTAGACCATTGAATAGCCAATCGTTTGGCATCAAAAGCTTGTCCTTTGATTTTGACCTATGGCAGGTCAAAGTCAGGCCATGGTTTCAGCGAATTCGACTTCTAGGGAATCGTTCAATCTGAGGCAACATTGGAGTGGTAGACGAAGCCACACATATCTGAGATCCTTTCTTAAGCAACACAAGTATTACATGAGCAAATTACGTTGACCTAGGGGTAGGTATAAAGGTCAGACCAAGGTCAAAACCGACCTGTTTTATTACTCTAGGGTTTGCTCTATGGGATAGTTTCTGGTGCTCACTTCGAATTTATTGATAGCAGGAACCGCATTATACATCGTCCATGGACTTCTTAGAGGTCAAAATAGGTCATTGACCTAAAATGACGCATGTCAACGTTTTGTTTTTAAAAACATACTGCCTAGCGTAACCTTTCTGGCTTATTCAAATGCAAAACTCAGAGCAGTCTTACATGATTTTTGTCACCATGACCTTCAAAAAGTCAAACAAGGTCACTGACCTGAACTGAACATGTGACCTTGTGCTCAGAAATAGTTATCTAGGTTCTGGGGCCACTTTAGAGACCATCCTGAAACTTGACCTTGTTTGACTTTATTTGCCCCAAAAGTCGTGATCTAGGAACCTCAAACTTTGGCCTAAGTGAGTTCACGCACAGGTCAACACACCCTGTGAATTTTGTGTTTATAGCTCCCTTAGTTCCCGAGATCTCAGGGGGTCAAATTGACCACTGGCCCGAGCAAAAGGTATCTAGCCGGCAACCCAGGCGCGTGTTAAAAATGTAAACAGAATTGATTTGACGGTAGCTTCTGGTTTATGTTCTAGTTACAACGTAAAAGTAACAATAAAACGAAGAAAACCGTGTCCCTTGTGAACAAGTCGATTGTGGCCGGGGATGTTTTTTGTGGCGGCGGGGGGGGATCACCATAAAGGGGGTTTTTGCCAACCTTGTGTTCCTCTTACCAAGGCTCTGGTTACCTCCTGCCAACACACCAGAGCAGATCAAGTCATCTACGTTGAATGACGTGCAAATAAATCTCCATTGGGCCAATTCAT